AAAAACCTTCTCAGTGGAGTATTTTCTGCTCTATAATCTCTATGGATTTGGAAAACCAATAGATATTCATCAGATTTTCACAAAATTTTAATAGCTAAGATCAGTCAGAATAGGTTTTCCATCCCCAAGAATCATACAGATACCTTCAAGTAAATTTACTGTTGCCCTGCTTTCATAGGACCAGGATTACTTCTTCAGAAATCCTCAACAGTCCTCCTGGTATACTTCAAGTACAGGCTTGAAGGCAAATAAAAACCCAAACAAAACAACAAAACATAACTAGGGTCATGATTTGCTGGTAATGAAGGTAACAAAAAAGGCAAATCCAAAAACATTTCACAGCTATACAGAATGGAAGTGACAGTCATGGCTATTGAGAATCTCAGATTTATAGGAAATTCATACCAATAGAAGTATTTTTTTCTCTTTTTTAATTTTCATTAGATAGAGCACTAGTAAAATACACATCACAGTGGGTACATTCTCACAAGCTGGATAGATCATCAGGGAGGAAGCAAGACCCGAACAGTTTCCTAGGTTAAAAACAGCACGTGGCATTTTCATCTTAAAAATAAAAATTAATAAAAAAAAAAGTCAGCAAGATCTATTCTACATCTGCTGAAATTTCCAAATGATCTTAGAAGTGCCTTACATAAGACATGTTAGACTAAACTCCATTTAAAGGCAGTCACGGACTGCATGATTTGAGTATGTTTTCCTGAGGGATCTCTGCCAACTTCTTGCTGACTGAAGAACATTAAAATCCTGGAAATGATGCTGTTTCTCCAGGCTGGGAGAAGACCTCCACCGTTACTTCCCATGTACGTTTTCACTCTGTACTGCCTATTTCATCTGCAACAAGCTTTAAACAGCAAATTCTCCTCTGGAAAAAAAATCATCAGTAGCAAGAGTAAAAGAAAAGATGCCATAGGACATGCATCATTAATGTGCTCAGATACGTATGTTGTGCTTTCAAACCACTACAAATGTCTGTAAGAGGACTCCTGTGGATTTTTTGCTTCAGGTATTTCTTTCAAAGGTTTGTAAGAGGTCACTGTTACTCCACTGGACTTCATTTATAACTTACGTAGATGTATGAAGAGTTTTGCAGGGGTTATTTTTGTTTACTAATGTGAAGAAAGTAAAAAGAAAAAACCCAAACAAAACCCAAGCACGTTCACTATAGTTTGCTAGGTCAAATATTTTCTTGTCTTTTTTTGTAAACCAGGAAAAATTTCCAAATTCAGAGATCTAGGCATAAACTGAGGCTAAGAGGATTAAAGGCCACAATCCCAATCGTCAGGTGACATAACACAGTATGGTCAAATTGAAGTCAGTGTCATATCAATCAAACCTGTGAAGATATGCCAGAACAGTTATGGCATATAAAATACAGTACTGATATGTAATAGCCTATTTTGATTAGTTTGCAGAGTATACTGTGCATTCAACAGTATACAGTGAATAATCACAGACAGTAATTACTACTTACAAACTGGCTTTTAGGAAAAGGAAAAATACCAATTTTTAGGCAGTGACTGCAATGAACATGGAGGACAAACATGAGTAGCCCGGGTAAACTTTCAAATGCTTATCCAAATCTCATATGAACATCCTAGTCTGGATACACTCTCTTTTGAAATTTCCAGAAAAAAAGACATACAAGGAAAGCCCTTCTAACTTTTATGTGGATATACATATTTTGGAATGGAATGCAATCAAGTTAAATATAACAAACTAGATGGAGAAAAAGGAATCTATTCTGGGTGTTTCATTTTATGTATTGAGGGTCTGCCTTTCTTGAAAGGGTTGCAGAAATTTATGTGGCTGGATGTTTTCAGTTGCTAAATAGCCTAAACAGAAGAGAGGTTTGTAGTAAGACTTCTCCCTCCAGCATGCCCAAGCAGAGATTGAACTTCATTCATGTGCACAAGGTATACCAAAAATACCCTTTCCACTGCTCTGAAAGCCAAAATAAGAGCAGTACTGGACAAGCACAAGGGTTCACCCTAGCATGTTATTTTATCTTATAAACAAATCCTGTAGAAGCACTCTAGTAAAAAAAGTAAGGATAAGTCCAGAGATGATATACAATTTCAGATGTGGCTGTCTTAAATTAAAAAAAAAAATATTTAGGGCACAGATCTAATGTTTCTTTTGTCAAGTGATTGTTTCAAATAATGAGACATTGCTTCAAATAAAAATGGCTCTTCTTTGGGGAGTTCCTCCTCCTTAAAATGTCCTCTAACACATTTAAAGATAAGGAAATAGCAAGAAGTAATCTTCAGTGGAAATTTTAGTTATGCTTTGTGATACAGAAACATATAAAAAATGGAAAAAAGGTACATCTGTGGAAAAAATAAAAAGTGCCTTTTCCCCCTGGTGTCATGTCTTTGGATATGTACAGCCTTGGAGAAATGCATAAATCATTTTATACATGGAACTCTTAAAAAACTAGAGATTTTTAGTACAAAGGAATCAATTCACTGCAAGAATGTCCACATGCTGTTGCTTTATGATTACTATATACAGAAGAGGATCAAAGAAAGGACCTCTGGTTTACAGTTACTGCCGTACTGTACATTAACATGTGGCTAATACCCTTCTCTGGGTGAGATTTACACTTAGTATTACAAATAATATAACAGTGCTGAAAATACTGATATAAAACAGCTTCAAGATGACATTTTAAAAATATCCCTCACTTTAATTGAACTGTTTTCCCCAGTTTAAGATTCAGCTTTATAAAAGATTCTCCAAGAAAATAGTAGCATTTAAAATGTTCTTTCTGAAATGTATAGATGGATTTTTTTTTTCATAAAGTATAATCCAAAAGTCTATTTTTCCAGGAAAAAAAACCCCAAATCAATAGATACAGAACATAAGTTAAACTTGAAGAGGTTTTTTTGTTGTTGTTGTTTTTGTTTTTTTGTGTTTTTCTGTTTGGTTGGTTGGGGTTTTTTTTTGTATGCTTCTTGGTTTTAGTGGTTGTTGTTAGGTTGGGTTTTTTTTGTTTTGTTTTGTTTGTTTTGTGGTTTTTTTTTTTTTATGTAGTATAGTACATTTGTACCCTGGGAAAAAAAATTCCTTGATTACAGTGTATGTTAATTTATTTACAGATCCGAAATATAATTGCATACATTAACTCTTGAGGTGAGCGAGACTTGTATTGTTACTAAGAACCAATGGTCCTTTCAATCCACCACGATGTTAAGAGATTGCTCAGAAGAACACACGATTCTTAGTGGAGGAATTATGTTACTAATTTTACCTTTTTGGTAGACTTTAAATTATGAGTTTCAATGCAGGACTGGGAGTCCTGAGCACCCATAGTTAAATCAGTCAAGCTCTGTTTGCAATTTTTGCACATTGTGTTTTGGCAGTAGCAACACACACACAAACACTAAGGAGTTTGGCAAATGCTTGTCTTGATTCTTCTGTATCCAGCTCTGGATTCCCAAAATTATCACTACAGACTATTTAGACAAAACCTGCTCTCTTCAACGTCAGATAATGTCATAAAATTTACTCAAACCAAATCTCAATAAATAGAATCCCGAAAACGTAGGTTGCTTAAATGACTTTGCAGAATATCTGCCAAGTTCATAGTCTATTTTTTTTATTAATCTAATCAATGCTTATATTAATTTGAATATTAGGTAGTTAAGCAGATAAAATTTGTAGCATTAATTCATTTTATACGCACTATGTAACTATATGGCATATGCTGAAACCACGACAGTGGCTTACTTTTCAAATGTTACAACATTTTTAGTGGCTATAGAAGCTTCATTTTTTATTATATGCTACCTCAGTTAAGTGATACTGGTTTGTTTCTTTGTGTGACAATGTGCTGCACCCTTGTCTTTCATTATTAATCACCAGTTAAATAGAGAGGTGTCTTGTCTCAGATCTGCCTCAATTGTACTTAAATGTGCCAGATTATTTATAAACTGTTAACTATATGTCCTATTATCAGTCAGATTACCCTCCATCAGTAAGATTGTAAACTAAGTGTCATGTTTAGTATATGCCACATGTCTGGAGTAACTCCACTTGAGAATCCCATTTTCAAGCCTTCTGAAAGGTGAAAATGGGATCTTTTGCTACTGACAAGTCTACAGGTTCATGGTGTGAACAGGTTTCATATTCCTGTGAGACCAGCATGCTGCATGTCAGGTAGCATTAGATTCAGCTCACTTGTGTGTGATAGGCCAAGACAAGTAAACCTGCTGAATTGGTATAAACCAGGCTGTGCAGACAATACGACCTACAGAAATTTTGACTTGCCAATTGGCAATTGGAACTGGGTAATAAGACAATTTCTCTTTAGTCTTTCACCCATTCTTGGTTTGGGAAGTAAAACACATGATGCATTACATCATAGCATAGAACTTCATATTGTGTAATGAGTGATACAGTGCCTGTAAAGCACAAACTTCACCACAACTTGACATGTCCTCATAGAACAAAAATACTGAACAAATATAGTTAAAGGTCGGGAAAGGGGAAGGAATGTTGAAGAACCAAGTTGACATGCTCAATCTGGAACCCAGTTACTGAATTACTGACTTAAATACCAGGTAAGCCTCTATGAACCTTCCTGTTAGCAGAAAATCAGTCACTTCCTTTACTTGTGGCATCAGGCATTCATAAAATACGTAGAGCAGGAAGCAGTAACACACCTCTACAGGTGAGCAAATTTCATTTTATTAAAAAAAAAAATGTAAAAAGAGGGTCCTCAAAGATTTCTGACTCGTTTCCCTAGTCTCTATGAAATTCAAGAGGTTTTACTAATTACTTATCTATTCATTCCTCACATCTACTTTACAGTAACATTATTAAACATACACAGATCACCTTCTAGAAATTCAGGGAATGATAGTGGCTTATAGAAGAAAACAAAAAAAAATAAATTACCCAATATTGGACTAGAAATGCCAGCCAAATGGTCCCATTTATAATACTCATGGTGACTTTTGCATGACAAATCAATCCAGTTATTTAACTTTTTTAATTTAATTTAACTATTTAATTAAAATTTACCCTTTTGCCACAGTCCCTGGTGGGAAAGTATAGAACCTACAGACAAAATTATTTTTTTACTTTATTTTTTTTCAGGTGGAAGTAGCAGCAGATGAGAACTGAAGAATGAGCTCTAGTTGAGCTGATGTTCCTCTTTAATCAACTCTCCTTGTTACCCATCTTGTTGACCTAAGGTCTGTAGCTCTGCTGTGTGTAAATTGTGGTGGAGGAAAACATTTTTTCTGCTGTACATGTGTAAAGAGATGGGGCCCCTTGGAGGCTGTCCGAGTCTCCCTGTGAAAGTGGTATGCTGCCGAGGTACAGCAGTTTGGTCTTTCGGAGTTCCTGAGAACACTGGGTAGCTGTCTGCCTTGGATGCTGGCTTTGCTGTAGCTGGTGTCGTGGTGGCCAAACCATTCTGAGTGACCTCTGAAGTGAGGGTTTCATATGTGCCTCTAGTATGCTTGATGACTTCCGCAATCTCGTTCTCTTTTAGGAGGTTGCTCAGACACAAATTAGACCTCTGACAGCTCTTGCTTTCATAGGCTGTTGCCTGGTTGCCTGATGAGTATCTAAAAGGGTCCTCTGTGGGAGTATGTGCTGACTTTCTGTCCCTTGTGCTGAGATTTTGGTTCACCATTCTGTTTGGATATGTAGCCTGGGAAAACAAAACAAACAAACAAACAAAAGTATTAGTAATATAATATAATAAGGAAATGGTGTAGAGTATAGAAACCACTCCGCACTACAGATGTGCAGCACATAGGCCTGGCAGATTTTAAAGGAGGGATGAATCTTAAATGCTGGTAAAACTCCCAAAGTGCTGATAGCAAAAAATAGAAGTATTGTTTATTCATATTTAACAGAACTAATATTGTAAAATAGTTATTACAAGTAATGATTCTGGCATGTTCTATAAAAAATAGTTTAAATCAAAGAAGGATAATTTTTTGTCAGAACAAAATGAATGGATAAAAAGCTTCTCTGAATTGTAAACAAATTTTCAAAAAGATTTCACATGATGAAACAAGAACTGTGATTTCATCAAGTTCACCTCTTAATACTCTCAAATACTTACAAAATGTAAAAAGCATCTTTTGTGAGTATCGTCATACCTTGGTTAAGGTCAGAACACAGAATCATAGAATCATAGAATATTTAGGGTTGCAAAGATGTTCACTTATAACCATTTTCATTGCCCCTTGAATCTAGGTGGTGTGTCATATACTACAGTAAAATATATGCCAAAATGCTCTGCCAGAGAAGAGCAATAGTTTTATTTTAGCTGCCTGAAAAAAAATTACAGTGTAAGAAGGATTACAGCATGTTAGCAACTTCTGAGGCTGTGTGAGCATGCATGCATTTTTATTTGTTTAAAGAAGGGGAAATTATCTACATGGCAAGTTAGATCACTGTAAATTTCCAGTATGCACTTAACATGCTGCTTTCCTTTGTCCTCCACAGAACACCTAGCTGGGGAGATGATGGCGTTGTAGGACCTTTGCCCATTTAAAAAATACACTCTCAGTGTATAAACTCAAGCATCGATGGGAAAATGCTAATGCAGTCAAAGCAGAATTCTTCCTGTTCCAAGACTGACTGTAAATAGCTTTCAGTGGTGATGCCCAGGAACTCGGCTCACAGGTAGATGTGCTTTTGGCTGAAGAATGGCACTAGCCAAGCTGTGACTGTAACATACCCATACGATGTTTCAAAGAGGTCTTTAATTTACACTGCAATTAGTACACCTTTTATTTTTAATTTTTTTTCCTTTTTTAAGTAGTCAGATTACAGTAACTAAGCTGCAGTTATATGAAGAAGGATTTTAGTAATAGCATTAATTGCACTTTATTTTAGAAGTTATTTTGGAATACACATTTGACCTTATTCATTGCTGTCATGCTTTTCCAGGTACTGGTTAAAACACCTAGTCCATTTGCAACCAAAGTCCAAATTTACTCATATAGGTTTTCTGCAACAGGACTATAAAAGGACATACCAGCAGGATCTTGGCATATATGTCGCCACAAGGGCTCTGACGTTGCAGAACAAGGCTGAGAAAATTAAAAATACCCCCAAGCTTTACAACAACACTTTGCTAAAAATATATCAGGTTGTTTCCGTGATTCCATAGCCAAGTTGGATATATTGTTTCAGGACAATCACATGCATTTCTATTTTAAACAACACAGAACAATGATACAGTCAAATCTTCACAGCTTACATCCTTATTTTAGGGTAGACAGGCTGGTCACGCTTCTACACAGTTTCATACACAGGCTTGGATACAGGTATTGCAGTGCATTTAAGGCATCAAAGATGGCATTTTCAAAAATTATTAGTTCTGGAGTAATAATTTTCCCTTTTATTTCTGTGCTGATTCAGACTCATAGATGGGAGTAGAACACTTCTGGAAAACATCACTTACATTTCATGCCTACAGCACATAGATGTTGAGATGAAATTCAACTTGATTCCTATGGAATAATTGTTGGGGAGACCTGTCTATGAGTTAATTTTTATTATTACTTTTTTAATTCATTTATTTCTGTGACAGTAAGTAAAGTCTTCCTACTGGGACGTGGCTTGGCTTTGCGAGCGAAGCCAAGCCATCAATCAATCAATCCTACTGGGACAAGAGTGGTAAACTCAATTCCTGCATTTCTCATAAGGGAATATTTCTGGAGTTACCATAGGACACCCCCCTGTGTCCTTTGACAACCTAAAGACTGATACAGAACTGAGATGAATCTCATGATGGGACATCTAGTCTATCCTATACTTCTGCTTAGCATCAGCTGTACCCTATGTTGTTCCTGACATTTTCTATTTTAACCACCTGTTAAAATCAATATAATCTGTATTGCTTCCTCAGCCAACCTTTTCCACTACATTACCTTTACTTTTAGAAAAAATGTCTTCTTAATGTCTAAACTGAGACTCTTTGAGTGCAAGTCTATTCCTTGTATCTCTCCTGATCATGGAAATTAAGAAAGAATTGCTGTTTGATCTCTGAATACCTGTTCATGTCTTCGAAGAATGCTGTCAAACTATCCCTTAATCTTCTTTCTCTAGAATGAAAAAATACCACATTGGTCTTTTCTCATAGGACTTATCTTCTAGACTCCAAGTCATTACTCTTGTCTTCTCTGTAGATTCTCTTCAGAAATTACACATTTTTTCCTGAAGTAGAAGCCCCAGAGTATGGTACTTAAGGTAATCTCTTACCACTAGGAAGCAGAAGAACCACTTTTAATTCTATGAAGGATTTCTTTACCACCTTCTTTTTAATTTACTCCAGTATGAGGTTAGTAATTTTATTTGGCAACAGCAAAAAACTGTTCACTCATGTTCATCTGGTTGTCCAAAACGGTTCCAAGATTTTTTTCCACAAAATTATTACTAGGTTGTTCAGCTGATTATTGTCACATAGACATAATTCCTCATTTGCCTCTATTTAATTTAATCATTTTTCTTCTGATCTTTTCTCTAATGCTTCAAGGTCATTCTGAATTCCCCTTTTATCCATTAACAAGTTTTCTCTCCCACCCAACTTCATATAAGGTGTAAATTTAGTAAGAATATCCCCTAGTCCATCATCCAGGTAGTAAAATAGCATTGAACTGACAACGGGACCTGGGCTGAAGTCCCCTCATTCCTCGAGGCTCAACCCTCAGCTGTTGAGAAATGCTGTGACATTTGATGTGACTATTTCATTGAAATAGAGAAGAATTTTTAACAGGTATATCTTTGTATGTCTTTGTGTGCATGCCTGTGTATGTGTGTACAAAATTGCTATAGCAAGTATAGTAAATCTTACTGATTCACTTTATAAATGTTAAGATCCACCTTAAAAACACAGGCTGCTGGTAGATGAAAGACATGTAAAAATCCCATTCGTAATACATTGGTACATTTGTAATCCTTTAGACATCAACTGCTGACCAAGTCTGAGACAAAGACTAGACCTAGCTGCACCTAGGCTCCATAAGGATTTTAGAAAGCAAGCAGGTCTGTTCTGAACCTCGTGATTCAATGGGACGACTTCCTTATTCCCTGTATTTCTTCCATTAGACATAAACCATTGTCCTGGTCTAAGACTAAGACTGAATTCAGCCAAACCTAGGCTCCATCAGGAGTTTAGAAAGCAAGGTAAGTCCACTCCAAACCTCATGACTCAATAGGAGGGTCTCCCTTACCCTCTCTGCTTTTGGTCTCTGTATCAATCATGTTAAACTCAATTTTATCTTTATTTTCCTTTATATGCATCATTCAAGCAAAAAATAATAGAGTGAACCTTGACATCAAATTCTGTTAATTCACACTTTTATAAATTCGTATCAAAACTACTCTTACTAATACATTCAATGGTCATTCTTTCAGCGACCCTAAATCACTCAATGTCACAACACATTTATAAAATTGTATCAAAAGCCTGACTAAAAGCAAGAAATCTGACATATACAGCTTTTCTTCTAGATAGAAGGCCTGTTACTGTGCTGTTATATGAAATTAGATTGGTTTGGCAATTGATGTGATTTGTAATCCATGTTGGCTCTTGTTCATCTAGTTTTCTTCTATGTGCTTATAGTTTGATTATTTGCCTCAATTCTTTGTCTGAGAATTGAAGTTAAACCAATGGAAAACCTTATAATATGTTTAAGATGAATCATAACCTCCCCCCCCAACACTCACAAAAATAGATACTGATACTGCACTCTGATCATTATACATCTGTATACACCTTGGAGATTTTTGTGGTAGTATACACTGCTCAGTAAGAAGTCTAGGAATTAAGGACCATTTCTCTTCTTTTAACTGCTATTGCAGTGCCAGCAAAAGCATGTTATTTTTCTGTTTAATCTGCAGCTATTCTTGTTCTTATCTTCATTCAGTGAGATTGCTCAGTCGTAAGCACCATGGCATGTGAATAACTGAAATTTAAACATGTTGTTGCAGAACTTTGTAGCCTTGGCTAAAGAGGCCACTTCCACCGAGAAGCATGACCACTGCTGGAGGTCTTGCATACCAGTTGTCTTACTGTCTAAGAATGGCTTAGCAGTTCCTTTTGTCTCTTGAAATAGAATAAAAAGTAAAAACTTGTAGGAAAAAAAAAATTTATGAAACAAGTTATACTTACAAAGTAGGTTTTAAAGTAAATACAGAAGAATCATCTGGCCATGAAAATGAGAAGTACAGAAGCATGTTCAAAGCAAAGCATGTTGTGGAAACTAGGTACCAGTAAAAGTTACAAGACATAATTACCTGATTTTTCATATTGCTTCTTTAACCTTGATGAAATGCTTTGTTTTGACTATCTGGCACTGCAATGTTTCTTTCCTCTTCCTTGTTAAGGTTGCATTTCACATGAAATATTTTCATTTTAGAAAATACATGCTGGATTTGTAGGTCTCCAAAACATTTGCTTCTGGTTGCTAGCCAATGCAGGGACACACTATGTGTGTATATATCAGTAATTTTTTAATAATATTCATTATTATTAGCTAGGGAATGTCTTAGTTTTGTAAAGCTGTAACTTCTGAAATTCCGCTTATATTGAATAATTAAACAAATACCAGGTGGTGAAAAATCAAGAATTAATTTACCTAGATTTTAAAACATCATTGCAAATATAGAATATGCCTTCAGTAGTCTAAG